CTCTTTCCAATGACACCAAAAACATGTCAATCGGTTCAGTAGTTTCAGAGGAGTAATTGTCACAAAAATCCTGCTTGCGTATTAAATAAGTAAATAAGATAACTAAAGTTTTGTCTAACATACAAGTCATATAATTTGTCAGTAACTAATTCTTTTATATTTTCATTTGATTTTCTTTTCTTGTAAATTTAACGTTGTAAATTAATTTATCTTATTATTGTTGTTTTTTGCCTTTTCAAGTTTTCTTTTGCTTTTGTTTCACTTTGTTACTTTTGTAGTTTTTCTAAATTTAATTTTTTTTCATTACACGTTGAGTAACACCCTTAAGCAGTCTTATGTCTCATTAACCTAACACATCTTCACTAAGTTAAGCGAGTGAAGCATTTTAGGGAACTTAAACTTAAAGTGAGGCATGGGACTCGCAAAATATTCGTGTATTGTTCGAGAAACTTAAAACTCATTAGACAATTTTCACAGTAAAAGATAAATAAAAATGTATTCCGCGATCGCGATTGCGTAAAAGTCGTCGCTCCAAAAATTTCATTTTTTTTCTTACCTAAAGAAAAGGATTTAATATTTTCCGAACTGTCGGGCCTTCTTGGGCATTCTTAGCATATGTTGTGTACAGCTATGACAGCAGATTAATTGGTAACTATAGTTTAGAAGAGTTATCTTTACCCTACTACCTGACCCGCTGTTTGACTTCCTAAAGGCGGTGCCACACGTCTGTGCCGTAACCTTACGTATTTTTCGTAACTTTGTGCTGCTGATGTCCAAACCACACCGCAACAGACATCTTCGAACGTCGCACCGGAAAAGGATGTATAGATAATTAGAGTAGACACCTTGTCTACTCCTTCAATCTATGGTCGCACGGCCCGTTCGACGCACTTATTTAAAATAATATGACGCACCGCTGTCTTTAAATAGATAAATATGTGGGTTGCATCATTATGCACACTTAATTTTTTTTAACATCAAAATGATCAAAATGAACCTCGTAGGGAGTTAACAAGGAACGTTAACATCCATTAATTACAGACTGTCCTTTGGGAGTTGAGTTTTGGGAAGAAAAGCCATCAACGCTCAGAGATAGCCTCTTCGCCCACAGAACATTACAACCTGATGTTTTGTTAAACACGTTTATTTCACAAACTTTTCCCACTCTTGTATATTTTACAAGTTAGTATACTTTATGGATACTTGTGCTATTAAACTGGATTGTTTATTAAACTTGTGTTAAAAAATGTTCTACAAACCATTAGATTAGATGAACATCGCAATTTAAATGTTAATCACAGAATTTTTACCTAAAATGTAAAAAAATAATTTCTAAAAAACCTACAAATTTATCAGTAAATGTTTAAGAACGCGGGTGACATACAAAATTGATTGAAATAAATTATTAGCCTAATATTGATTTATTTAGGATTTTGTACAAAAGAGACTTTAAAACACATTGCGCTTAAGCTGGTTTTGTAATTATCGCTCTAATAGAATCAGAGTTTTATGATGTATGATTAAAAAATGGAACTCTCAGAATATAACTGTGTATCTCATCGCTGACAAAGATTCTTTGATTACTAATCCTGTCAAACAAACTTAATCTTCTAAACAGACTTTTCGTTTTGTTAATGCTTTTGTCGACCAATTTAACGCTTATGGTGAACAAGTTCCGATAATTGATATAAGAAAACTGCTCTGGTCAAATATTTGGGTCTGTCCTTGTGAAAACTGCAGTAAAAGCATTGACTTGAAATATTGAAATAGATATTCTATCTATGGATAACAAACTCACGTCTTGTTTTAGCTATATTTTTATGTAAATTAGGTATACAATTTAAAATCTTTGCATTTCGTATCTTTACAATCAAGTATTTTACCTTAATGATAAGGTATGTGTATTTAAAAGGTACGAGTATTAAGGAAGTCACATAAAAGCCTAATGTTAGGTTATTATTCCTAATTATTATTTGAAATTAAAACAGGAATAAACGTTTGATATGCCGTATCAATGTTTTAGCCAAGTCCTATATCTGAGCTTATGGAATCAAAACATAACAAAACACGCCTGTTACTGTAATTTCCCTTGTGAGTTTGTTTCAGTTTGAACAGAGCTTTTCTCTCGATGGAAGAATCTCTATATGTTGTATAATATGGACTGTTATTAAATATGATGACACTAGCAGAGTACCCGTCCTTCGTACGGGGTTGGCATATAAGTGTAAAATAATTATCGCAGTACTCTCACTTAGCATTTGCAATGGGGGAGGACACAGTTTGATCAAATTTGCTTCTTTAAATTTACGGTATACTATAGTATTACACATCTACCATAGCCATAATGTTCTACCACTTCACCTAAACAATATAGAAAAACAAATTATTAAAACTTCGCAAAATATCACAAATTATTCTAGTAGTTAAAAACATTAAAAACGATCCTACTTTGACAGTTCTCATTGCCTATCATAGTTTTTTTGTTGGTGCTTAGTTAGTTCAAATTAGCTGTTTCCATAAATGCAAAAAAAAATAATAGTGCTGCACCCTGTTGGTAGATCTTATAACTTTTTAATACTTTTGCATATCATAGAACCAACTTTTTTAGTTGAAACAACTGACTAAATTCTCTAATTCCCTTTAAATATGAATACGCTTAAGGTTAACATGGGGAACTACAGAGCCACTGGGGCAGAGCCCGAAAGGATTTTTGAGACAAGAATATGCCTATATGTTAATCGGGAATATGAGCTATCATCATGCCAAATTTCAGCCCAATCCGTCCAATAGTTAATGCGTGATTGAACTTCAAACAAACAAACAAACACACAAACTTTCACATTTATAATATTAGTAAGATTATATATGCGGGCTGTAGTAAAATGTATTTATTATGTTTTTTTTTTTTTTTTTTTTTTTTTTTTTTTTTTTTTTTTTTTTTTTTTTTTTTTGTAAAGTTATTGTTGTGTTTAGCTTTCTGGATGTTCTAAAACCAGATTATAATAATATTATTAAAATAACCTACGGATAAGTTCATGAATACAAACTACAAAATAGCTCCTAACTTTTCTCAGAATTAAACTTGAACCGGTGCGATGGCCTTTTAATAAGTGAGCCATCCAGCTATATTCTGTAAACCGAATGAACTGTGTAAATTTAACCTTTTACTACCTTTTACTTTGGGGAAGCGCTCCCAAAACAAGCGTCACACCATGGATTGCGTGCTGTCAAAAAAAAGTTCGGCCAAAACTTCTGCCCGTGGACGGGTCGCTAGCCGAACTAAAACATACGGGTACCGGCTATTGGCAGTGCTGGGGGTATTGGTGAGTGAGTAGCAAAGCAAGACACAAATTTTTTCACAAAAGTACCCCCGCCAACCCCCTCGCCAAGACCCAACCAGATCTGGTCGCGTACAGGAACTTTGGCCGAGCTGTAAACTGTACGATCGTGAGCCTAGCAACCGAGACGCGGCCCGGCCCAAACAGACAGCCATATTCGCAGTAATCGCAGTCGTTCGTTCTCGCGATGTTTCAGTCCACTGATTTGAAACCCTACTGGACTGAGGCTGTTTTATAACTTTGTCCTCTTTAGCCATACTCGCAGTCCAGTCCATATTCTACGTGGCGTGCCCTCGCCCTGTCGGGGTATAGCTGTACAGCAGAGGTAGGTGGTCTGTACTATGGTCCTCGCCACCTAACGAAGCAGCCCAAACTGACCTTAAGGGTCATTACTGGCTGGTCAGTTTGGGCTGCCTCAAGTTAAAGTAGTGGGGAGAATACATTCTAGGTTGCTCGCTCAGGGAGTGTTGAAGGAGCTCGGCCTATCTGTGAGGGGCCTTACTCACGCACGGACACCATCACCATCATAATTGCCTGTATTACGGGTTTTTAATACTCTAGGCTCTATCCCTTGATAATTTTTCTCATTACTGTACTTCATCAGGCTAGGCCAAGGGGTTGCGGCACTAAATAGGACCCATTCTTGATTGACAAGATTTGAACCTGAGACCCCAAATTCTTCTAAACTAACCGCTTTACATTATTAGAATCATTATTAAAATGTCCATTGTTTCACAACAAAGGAACCACCATTATCAACAGTGAATATTGTTCGATATACATGTAACGCTTGTTTAACATACCGATTACAATTATATTTAACTGTTATTTAAGGTAGAATTAAATTACTTTATATCAAAACGGTGACCGGAGTAGCAGGGACGACACTGGACTGTGGTGGGGGTCAGTCACTGAGCTATATGCAACATAACAGGGCATGTCTGCTATAAAATTGGAAAAATTGAGCTGTAACTCGTGTTATGTTGGTACCAGCTCAGGGAAGTTTATATGTGAGCTGTATGTCGACTCGGAGGCTCAGTTCAGTTGGGACTCGGGACAGTCGGTCTGTCGGTCATCGGTAGCGTCATCGTCACGGACTTCGGCCCCAAGGCCGCGAAAACGTGTGTTCGGATCCATGGTCACTCACTGCCACTACTTATTATCAGTACAGTTCACCCTTGTACTGTACCGTCTCGCCCCTATTGCTTTGCTGGATACGTGCCACGCACAGGTCCACAGCCTATGTGGGCGTGTAAATGCGATGTAAAAAGACGCCACCAACCTATTTTTTAATCAGCTCATTATGCTGGTCTCATGCTCATGTAAAATCCCATAAACCCCTGGTTGCAACGGACAATTTACTTTATACCCGAGTGGGCGAGACGTTGGCCACCATTAGTACTAGACTAATGGTGGCCAACGTCTCGCCCACTCGGGTCTCGCAAATTTTTCTCATTCGGTGCTACCTCCAGTTAGTTATATCTCTAGCTCAGAAGGAAAAATACGGTTGTATGACAACCCTAGCTAGGCCTATACCGAGTATACAATGTATGTATTTTTTTGTTAAATCAACGGTCTCTAAATCAATAAGAGAAATCGCTCTCCCGTTGTCTGCCTCAGTGGCAGCGCCAAAAAGCGCGCTGTAATAGAAAAAAGTGTTGTCGTTAAGTAAGTTTTGGTTTTGAATGGTGTTTGTGCAGTTTTGAATGGGAGCCGCTTATAATATTTAGGTAAAATTTTAAAGTTGTTTTTTAAAGTTTTAAAAATACTACTACACCTCTGTGGTGAAATATTTTGTTGTGACTATTCGTCTACCATCCTGTTTGGTACCAGCGAATTATGTTTCTGGACATGTAACTTACACTTACACACTTCATCCATTTTGTCCTTTCTTGTTCACCCTATTTTACGAACTTTTAAGTTAAGTGCTATCGGGTGCTAGGCTACTGTTATTAATTAGCCCCTGCTTTAGAGTAGGGTAGACCTAGGAAATATTTAGCTGGGTCTACCCAGAACCCTAGGATTTTTAGACGTTTTATGCTTTGGTCAGGCAAAGTCTAGGCGATTTTATTTTCATTGTCTTTATAGGCTAGTGGCCTTTTCCCACAATTTTCGTTTGTTAAATTTACCCTCGAATTAAGGAGATAAGTTAAGTAAGATAAGCTAAATACCAAGTCAACAACATTAAGAGTTTTTTTTTTAAGTTAGCCTAGCTTAAGATTTCATATTGCGTTACTGGTTTAACTTCTAGGCATACTTCTTGATTTAGGACAAAGTTAGATTGTGTTCGGATTACCTATTTAGGTTACGGGCATTTACTAAAGTTATACGGAAAGAGGGGTTAGCAACAAAACTTCACAAGGCATTTCACTCCATTCCATAAGTTTACTCATCATTGAATTAGGTCTACATTTTAGTTTAAATAGCCTAAGTCAAGCCTAATTGATTGACCATTTCAATTGGTAGCCTAGGCTAAGTAATATTAATCTAGACAACAGTGCTAAGCCTTTTAAACAGGCCACATGCATGACCTTCTTAGGTAACTTTAGATTAAGTTAGGTAGGCTATACTCAATTCCATAGTCTACACAGAGTTTCCATTTTAAGCCATGTAAGATATGCTTACAGTAGTTCAAGCGGGAGTTTCAGCGATACTAGCTGTCCTTAAAACACAAATTTGCTGTTGTAGGCCTACTTACCATAAGTTAGGGTAGGCTACCCACAAAAAGTATCTTTCCTTAAGTTTAAATGTGTTCCCTATCTGTATTAAGCTAACTTATGTCTACTATTAGAAAACCTTTGCATAAGTTAACCAACACTTTTGTTTTTAGAGATGAACACTTCGGAAGCGCTAGACTTATCGAAAGAAAACATCCAGCCTTTGAAACAAGGTAGGAATGCTGTGAAGCTGGGAACTGCTTTACAAGCACAGACCAATGCTGAGCTCCATCAACAATTGATGGCGGAAAGAGAGCGGTTTGAACTTCTGATCAGGATGTATGAAGGGGATGATCCTCTAGAGCCACATTATGAGTATGTCCGCTGGATTGAGCAAAGCTTCCCTAAACACGGGCCGGAAAGTAACCTTGTGCAAATTTTAGAAAACACCCTCGCTGCTTTCAAGGACGACATTCGTTACAAACAGGATTTAAGATATGCAGAACTCCTCATAAAATATGTAAGTATTAATGAGATGCAGGCTGTGTTATAACCAGCTAGTTTTACATTTATTCTTTGTGTGTTGTTTAATTAAACTATGAAATCATTAGTTTTGAATAAAATTAGGTAAATCGTCATGCTATATTGAACATCTTAAATACTTTTATTAAATTTTGTAAAGTAGCTTTTGTAAGACACTCATTCTATTCTGGGTTTGACCCTAGATAGGATCAAGTTTGATTAAACTAAAATTTAACAACATTTTCCACTATCTTTCTCCAGGTTGATTAGTAATGTTGTAAGTCATGTATTATTTTATATCTTCGCCAGGTTATTGAATTCATAATTAAATTGCACCTATGCATTCTAACTCCGTAGTCTTAATTTCTATTTATAGGCACAAAAAAACTGGTTAAAATAGGCCTAGTTTATTGCCACATCATGATGAATTTTAAGATTGGTTTGATCTAAGTATAAATATGTACTGTAGGCCACCTATAAACTAGTGTATGATATAGTTATTTGCAATTCCTTTTTTATCTTCTTTAGGCAAAAGTCCCCCAACCTACAATTCAAACAATTTAACCGTTGCAGAATAATCTTAAAAAAAAGAAATTTACACAGTTACGCCTACAACCCTAGACCATTGACTGTATGTATAGTCAATGCCTAGACTTCTCATTAAAAAAAAACTAGCCTATTCAATAGGCCTACCTTGGCTGATACCACTTGTTTTTATTTCAGATTGATACCCAATCACATCCTCTAGAAATCTACCAAATAGTTTATGATCAAGGGCTGTGCACTATGTGCGCTCCTTTCTACAAAGCATGGGCTGAAGAATATGATAAAATAAATGACATCAAGTCAGCTGATAGAATATATGAGTTGGGAATCAGAGTCAAAGCACAGCCAGTGGAACTTCTTCCTGAAGCCCAAATGTAAGTTTAATTATAGTACGGTATACAGTTTAGTAAGTAATTTCACCTTTGCTGTGCCGTACCTTAGTTCTAGACTAAGTTTTTTTTTTTTTAAGCTGACTTTAGGTATACTACTACCTTTTACTAGACACTGAGTCCTGTGAAGAAGACATCCCTTTCCATATTTAGATTTTATGTGGTTTAAAATAAATAAATTGGTCTGTTACACTTGAGTCACCTTGAAAATTCCCTTCTTATGTATACCAACTAAAAAATATTTTAGTACCATACATACAACCAGATTTTTAACTAGCCTTTTAAATTCAGTTCTTAGAATTGTAAAGATTCACTTACACATTGTTTACTTACTTCCCAGCACTAGTGTTGTAAAGTAACTGACCAATGAGGTTCTGTTCAAGGGTTGAACCAAAAAGAAGTACAATTGTAATGCTTCGAACATTAGCTTATCTGCTGATAGCGACCAATTTATATATTGCTGATTCGCGGACTTAAGCTGGTAACTCACATTCTTTACTTAACCTATAATTTTTTAAATAAAATTTAAAGATTTTGAAATGGTTAGATTGTTCTAGAGGAAAATAGACGACATAGAAGTAAGGGCTTTAAACGGTTTGTAATAATCTTTAACCACCTAAATTAAAGAAACATTATGATGAGAAAATAATGTGTGTAGGCTTGTAAAAATTTGTATTGATTATCCTTCTCTGATAATAATATAATTTAAGAGGAGATAGCAATACTTTAACTATTTTGATTTAAATGTTAAAAGTACACTGTTTCGATACATTCAGTAGAGGTCTATTGCTAAAAAATATGTAATCTTTGTCTACTTGTACCTGAAACAGTAAGGTAAGAACGCTGCTAGCAGTTCCTTACTTACTAAGACTCCTGTGGCTCCACAAATCTCGATTAGGTCGATTCTTGGCCTCAAGTACCAGCCTCTTCCACCCTTCTCTGTCTTCCGCCAAGTTGATGTTTGCACCCATCATCCTGACATTGTTCAATACTTGATCAGCATTTCCTACCCTGAAAAAGGTTTCAACAGATAGTTTATGAAGTTTAACAAACGTAATTAACATACGATTGTAGGTAAAGTAGTGTAAGCAACTCCTTTGCTCCTCGTGCCTTAAATTTCTACTTGTTTTGTAAAGCCTATTATCTTTACGTAATTGTTGCCTTTAAACTACTCTTAACTGTCCCTCAACTATAACTATAACTATATTATCAATAACTGTTCGTTGTCAGTAAACCTACTCCCTACTTTAATGATTCTGTGTAACACTCAATTGTCTGTTAAAGGCGTTTTCAACTATCACTTGGTCGGAGGATGCTTGGCTACCAAGAAGAGGCTGCCAATGAGGAGGCTGAACGTAACCGCCAGGCTCTCCACAAACTACAGAAGAAGAACGTGTATGGAGACAGAGAACCTGTGGGTGCTCCGGGCCGAATCAAACAACAGGTTCTGGGCTCACACAATACCAAGGGAAACTCCAACGCCCCTTTCAAAATCTACCAGGTGACACTATTATTACTTTACCCACATCTTACATCCTTACACAACCTTTTTCAAATCATTAGTCATAAGTATTTTATTGCATAAACATTCTTCATTACAAAGGCAATGGTGAACAGATGCATGGTCGTGGTCGATCAATAAGTTTTAAAAACTAAAACCATAGACTAACCAACACAAGTAGACTTCTCATCCCATTGTAAATTTTGAAGCACGTTTTTCGTGTCTAGTTCATGTACGTGACACAAAGGCGCTAGTGTCGACGAAACTTTGTTTCTATTATTTTAGGGTTAATTTCTTGATTTGTGCTTTACTGTTTGGTTATATGACTAAGGGACAAGTTATTGTTTATGATTAGATCGTATTATTTGGTTAAACGAGGTTTTAAATGGCTGTAATAACGGGAAACAAATTGTAAACAAAACACGACCTCTACAGAAAACCGTACAGAACTAACAATAAAATTGGCCTCAGCTGTTCCATAAGGATGGGAAATCTACTAAGGGAGTATGTTTTATCTATGCTAAAACTAAAAAGTAACAACAAAATACAACAAGAACAGTACAATTGATAGAAAGTTACCAATTCCAAAAAAAGTTAGCAAAAAAATGTAAATGAAGATCTTGAAGCAATGTCAGAGACGACAATAAAAAACAAAAAACAATCTCTTACTGATAACTGTTCTCTGTTTTTCCCCTAAAGATATGATGTCAATAGCCGACTCCTCAATACCCATACTGGCAATGTTTTAAATCAGCATCTGATGATCCACACCTAGTCAAAAGCCCTGGACAGGTCACAGAAAATCCTCACAGTAAACTGTGACCTATCCAAGGCCCTCGCTGCATCGCTCACAAAGTTTATCAAAACCAATTCAGTACTTCTATTTTTCCTAAACCCAAACTGTTCAGTCCCAAGCAGATTATTACTTTCAATCAAAGTACCCAATTGATACTGATTGTTAAAATCTGTATCAATTGGGATCCTAAGCAGGGTGTCCAACGACCAGGAAACCGTAAAAAGCGAGAATTATACGGGAATATTATGACGCGGGGGACTATACGGGAATTATACAGAAATTCTGTAATTATGGTAGTAATGTGCGGGAATTTTTCTTGGATCAATTTTTATTTTAGATATTCAACAATTATTGAGAGCCGAACAGAACACGTGTAAAATCTTTCTCCAACCGGAAGCATTTATTAGTGTAAAAAAAGCAAAATCAGCATGTTACGAAGACGACAGGCTATGAACTAGTGATGGTCAAAACCAGAAATTTCGAATCTCGAATCTTAAAAAACCTAAACGCGAAACTTTTTTTACTTAGCTGGTTACAAAGGTCAAGGTTACAAAAAATACAGGTAATAATAAAATGTTAAGTATGCAATCAAAACTACAAGAGATCGACTCCTGGCCCTGACATATTATAAATATGTGACTGATGATCTTAAATAAAACTCCTAACACCAACATAAATATGAATATTAGATTAATTAGATCATATAGTGGTCAATATTTCTTTGGGTTTAACAAATATTGATATGAAACTGAATCGTACATCCTTCCAGTTATAGTATTTAAGATGCCTTTTGAAGTTCAGATTACAGTAGCCTACAATTTACTTGTTTCATTACTTTTGATGGTGATGTTTGTCTATTGCTATGAGCTTGTGAGGAACAGTGTTAAAAACAATAATAAAGACACAAAATAATTTCAGCAGTTTCAAAAAACACTGCAAAAATCTTCAATTTCGAATCTTTTGAATCTCAAAACTCGGTGATCGAATCTCAAAACCGAATCTTTTCCCAAGTTTTGATGGTTTTGAGATTTGGTTTTGACACATCACTACTATGGACGCCTTTTTCTAAAAACCGTCAGAGCTTGGTTTCCGAATGACAATGTGACGCCTGTATACAACTCTAAACTCTAGTGGTCTAGTCTAATGTCTCGGCTGTCTGCTTCGCTTGTCTAGATTGACAACTCAGTCAAGCAATTTTGTATTCCAGTTCTTATTGTTTACGGGTGTCCAATACTTCAGGGATTTAGAGGTAGTTTAAAAACATTGTTAATAACCAACTCTGTAGTGAATGATTCTAATTTTGTCAAGGTATACTTATTTTTATATAAGTTGGAAGTTGGAAGTGACAAAACCTCAAAGCGATTTAGACATACATACTCTTAACATAATTTCACAGTTTCATCCGTTGACAAAAGATGCTGTGTCTATTCTTAATTAATCAATTTTGTATGTCTAGTGTATGAATGTAATGTAATAATTGTTCGTGAAGTCTATGAAGGATAGGCTTTTTGTCGGCGGTGTGATAACTGACGGAAGGTCTAATATCGCTTGAACTACAGGGTTTGTCCAAACTGTGCTCGTCCAATATGAGTAGTATGAATATCGCATGTTGCTTGCACTACACTCTCCTATGGCAACAGACCAGAAGGTCCAGAACCACTTGACAAGATAGCGAAAGAGAATGATAGAATAGGTTTTGTTTTCTGATTAGGATGTCATTATTAGGGACTACTGTTGTACAATTGTACTAAACACAAAAATTTTAGTTATTGTTTACAGTGAAAATGACACAAATTTGAGTTTCCCTACTTCCTTAGTGTAGACCACTTTGGCAATAATGGCATGACTCGTGTGAATTTTTACATTTTATTGTGCAATATTAATTAACTTTATTTTAAGTGTTCTTATTGATTAATTGTTGTGATTTTTAATCAATAATGGCATAGTGAAAGGAAAAAAACATAGGTGTGCTATTCCCGTCATATGCTGACGTCACCCAGATTGCAAAACGGGGAGTCGTAGGGGGGGTGATAGTTCTATCGAAGTCCTCACCCCAAAAATAGAGGGTATACATGGGTTTGTACTGCTTTACCAAAAAACTCTCTAGATCCATATACATGTAGTGAAAAGGTTTTTTTTGCCCCCTAAGGGCAAATATAAGTGTTAAAAAGGGTGTATTTTTATTAAGGAAAATATAATTAATCAATCTAACTAAACTAATAAATATATATTTTTTATTTGTAGGGCATTTCCCGCCCTTGTAAGTAGAAACGAGGGGGTTGTAGGGGGGGGCAATGGTTCGATCGAATTCCTCGCCGCAAAAATAGGGGTTAGGCTAGGCTATTCATGGGTTTGTACTGCCTTACCGTCAAAATATGAGAAATACCCGGGAAAAGGAAAATCCCTGTCAAATAATCCCACTCTCCAGAGCCATACACCACCGGCCTACAATTTATCGTCTTTTCAAAAGCGTGTATAAAAGATTCTATTCTATAACTTTAACTTACGGTAAGTCGTCCTACTAGTATAACATGATGTGGTATCTACAGAAATCAGTAATTTATATTCACACATTCTGCCGGTGATTTAATTCTATGCTTTAACATGAGGATGGTGTGTCTAGTTCCATCACTAGAGAAAGATGTTATCCAAAATAACTGAATTTATGTTCATTTTGTATCGTACAATTAATGATTACAATTAAAGTATCTCTTTAATAAAACTATATAAAATAAAGTGTAGTAAATTAAACAAAAAATATATTAAGGATTGACTGCTGGCACAATCAATTTTGGCTGGACAGCTTCGATTCTCAAAACTTGCCAAACAAATCTTTGGAAAAGTTTGAATGGTTTTGATATTTCAGTTTCTGTTCTAACACGTCACTACTGCTATCTAAAACTCTCTGATTGCAGGAAGATGACAATGAATTTGGAAGCCATGGGGATGGGCAAGGTAAGATGTTTCCCAAGCAAGGATTGGTGAATAAGGAAAATACTTTGAAGGCCGGCCCGTGGAGTCAGCAGGGTGGCAAACATCGCAACCAAGGGCCGCCAGTTCCAGCTAGCCACCATGGGCCCATGTTTCAAGGTAGTTGAGAACCTTAAGTATAAAACATAATTTAAATAAAAAATTCTTAACCGCTTAAGTAAGAATTAAAAATTACATGTATTTTTTCTGTATAGGTTTAATGAAGAAATTAATGCCCCCCATGTACATGTATGACATGTACTCATGGAGATGGACATGGATGACATGTATTATGATACATGTAGATAGCAGTCATGGTTATAAAAAATATTTAATTTAAAAACTGGAAAATCTAACCATCCCATGAAATTTTTTATCAGACATTATGATACAGATATTTCAAAAAAAATATCTATATCTATATATTTTGAGAAAATGATCATGGTTCTTGGGATAATTTAGTTTTCAAATCTGAAACGAAACATGTAGTCTATCACATACAATGTATTTCTGAATTTAGCCAATGAAGATCTTCCGGTAGTTTGAATTGAGTTTTTTCTCTCTCTTTATATGGCTCATGGCGATGTTGCCTAACACATTGTGTACAATGTTTTTCATGTTTAGTCCATGAAGATGAGGATGCTGATATGAACAATGGTCATCCTAAGACCCCGCAAGTCCCAAGGGCCTTGAAACCTCGCAAGATTGATAACTTTACCTGCCCGTTAGCTGTGTTTGAACCGCCCGACCCAACAAAACAACCCATGTACTGTAAACACAAGGTAATTACACTTCCTTATTATTATTCCCATGACCATTTATATACTAGAAGGCATTTGCCCTACTAACTGCCTCCGTTTCCTCATCAAGTATTTGACTATTTCACCTTTCCGCTTCTTTGAGTGTACAAGACAGAGAGATTAGATGTACAAGAGCAGATGATTAAGTTCCAAATCCTTACACTTTAATCTTGTTATTATCTTGGAAAATGTCTACAATAGTCAAACAAATAACATTAATGTTGAGTTATTTCTTATTGTAAACTGTTGCTAGGTTTATGCTGGAGGCACTGAGTTTCAATTTGAAGAGTTGCGAGCTGCACTTTACAACCGACGACATGAAAAACTTTGTAAGTGTGTGTAGTATTATTTGATGGTACAAAATTGGGATCAGCTAACCACTCGGCTTTTAACACATTGAGTGCGGGGCTGGTCACTGAGGACCGGCCGCCAAACGCGCGGACAGGCCAGCCAGGTCCCGCTGAAATGAATCACTCAGTGTGGTGCAATAATTGTGTATGCGTTGCTTGCGTTACATAACCTATACTGTTTGTGTTTTGCCCGCCGTTCCCATGGACCGTTGCCGGTCTCCCAAAACCGGTAAATTCCCACTTTTAATAAAGATGGACTCCCCAATACCAAATTGTTATCAGCAGTTCCATGATTCACTGTTATTGAAATAAACAACTGGTTGGGAGGGAGTAAGGGGCTATAAAATTGTAAATATTAGTTATTGTGCTATTAAACATTTTTAGTGTGAAAACAGTGTTTGTGAGACCAAAAGTGGAGTATTTTTTGTCACAGTGGCCACAGACTTCATTGCGCGGGCCATGGTCACTAGTATTTTTTTGCATTCAGATTAAGTTTAAATATGTACACAAAGAATGTCTTATGAAGTGTTAAAATAAAACGATTATCTTTGTATGATTATAGTTCCTTATTCTTATCAATATTTTATTGGACTACTTAACAAGTAAAATGTATATTTCTAGTTGTCTACTTCCTCAAAAGTTAGTTCTCCCAACAGGTTCTCTAAGCTTACTAATTTGTCTATAAAAGGGTAATTCATTTAGCATGAAAGTACTATACTCTTAAAATGTAAAATCAATTTTCCCAACAGTAGCTGCAAGACAGCAGCAAGAGGAAGAAGAATTGAGGCGAAAAGCTGAGACTGATGCCACTTATGTCAAAACTGCTCCGGATGTGATTGGTGTACAGGACAGCAACAGAGGCAGTGAAGAGAAAATTATAAAGATGGTAAGGAATGATGGTAGGAAGTGATGGTAAGGATGGTCACATCCAGAAATGTTGAGTCAGAAACTTGAAATAACTAGCCTCAAAACCAAGTACAATTCGAATGAAATACATGTTACAGTTAAATCAATTCTCGCTATTATTAAGTTTACTTTTGACCAATTTTTTAAATTATTGGTTTTTAAAACTGTTCACCTCAGAATCTTGCCAATGTCTATATTATCTTCTGGAATTGGAACTATATCTGTGATTATCTGCAATCACAACAACAAAACACTCATTCTGTAATCGTAATAATATTGAAAGTTTTGACCCATAAGATCCCTTAAATTTTATATATCCCGCCTAAAATAGGAATAGGAAATAAAATATTTAGGACTCATGCTTATTAAGATACTAATACTGTACATTTTTTACTTTCCAACCAAATTACTGTACTGTCTGAAGTGTACTAAAAGGTGATATTACATAAATATGAGAGTAATTGATTCTCAAATTTGTACTTTTTTTAAGTTTGGGTAAATTTTTGCAGATTGGGATTTGACATATCACCAGTAAGGAGTTTCTCTTTATATTTTGAGAATTTCCCTTTAGGGTAGTAGCTATTACCATTACCGTATGTGGCACGGTAAGACCTAGGCCCGTGACCGATTTACTTTTTAATTTCAATGTCTCCAGAGGCCAAAAACACGATTCGTTCAAATTATTATGTTATATGTGTCACAACTAGGGATGGTCAAGCCTCGAAATTTCGGGGATTTTACATCTCGTTACACGAGACGAGATTTCTTTTTGGCCGAGATTTTTATCGAGACGAGAATAAAAAATAAAAAAATTTTAAAAAAATTAAAAATGCCTGCAGAAAGTAAATGCAATACCCGCAATACAGGAGCGTGTTGTAGTTGCGTTTCCTTTGCGAAGGCGTTCTTATTTAATTAATTCTTTAAATGTAAATATTACTTTAGGCCTAATTATTTTAATAATATTACTTTAATAACATTTGAGAAGTTTTGTTAAGTGTAAGTAGTGTGAGGAATGTTTTATTACTATAAAAAGTCAAAACAAGTAACTATTTTATAAAAATGAATATTGCTTTTATTTTATGATTTATTTTATTTTAGCGAATTTCCCTAAAGGGAAGTAGCTATTACCGTAGGTCTCATGGTAAGACTTAGGCCCGGGACCGATTTACTTTTTCATTTTGATGTCCCCAGAGGCCAAAAACACCACTCGTTCAAATTTTTAGCGAATTTCCCATATAGGGAATAAGCTATTACCGTAGTACTCACGGTAAGACCTGGACCCGGGACCGATTTTTTTTTTCGTTTTGAGGCCCCTAGAGGCCAAAAACACCATCCGTTCAAATTCATATATATATTTATATATATATGTGTCCGTTAGCGCGATAACTCGAGCAAAAATGATCCGATTTTGATGAAATTTGGTACAAACGTGTAAACCTACGTTTATTCGAACGAGTTCGCAAACCAGCATGATCGGACCATGGGAACGGGGGTTTATGGGGGCTTTTATGGGGTAAAAATGGGTTTTTCCCATTTTTGACCTAAAAAACATAAAATTTTGCAATTTCTTTCTAAACTATTTTGTAGAGCTAAAAAAACAAATTATTTAGTATATTGAAGCGTTATAATGTGCCTAATAGTTACGGAGAAAATTCCAAAAAATTGTAAATTTAAAATTCCCATGTTATTCTTAAGGAGAATAAGTAAACTGTTGTAGTTTGCTTGTTTATAAACATATTTTGCCCAAATTTGGAAAATGTTTTTATTTCTTACTAACTATTAACATTTTACATCAAAAACACTTTTACCCTCCCTGTTGCAGCAAACCTATGTGTAAAACTGAATCTATTTAAATAGGGAATAAATGTGATATTTTTAAGGAGACATTTTAGTGTAAATCCATTCAGGGAAATGGAAATTCGCTTAGTCTGCAGGTTTGCTGCGGCGGGGGTATTATATATGTATATATATATTTATATATGTGTGTCCGTGAACACGATAACTTGAGTAATTTGTATCCGATTTTGATGAAATTTGGTTTGAAGGTGTAAGGCGGGATAAACTTGAATGAGTTCGCGATCCAGCATGATTGGACCATGGGAACAGGGTTTTATGGGGGGTTTTATGGGGTAAAAATTGGTTTTTCTCACTTTTGACCCTCAAAACACAAAATTTCCCAATTTTTCTCTAAACCTTCTTAAAGAGCTTAAAAAAACAAACAATTTGGTATATCAAAGTGTTTTTGTACGGTTATTGGTTACGGAGAAAACTAAAAAAATGGTAAATTTAAAATTCCCATGTTATTCTTATGGAGAATATTGTAAAATGTTGTAGTTTGCTTGTTTATGGATATCTTTTGATCAAACTTGGCAAATATATTCATTTTATACTAAGCAATAATTATTTTACTTAAAACACACACTTTATTAGTTTCCTTGTAGCAGCAAACCTAGGTACTCGTTAAACCTAATGTTATTTAAATAGATCAATTGAAAATCAATTCAGCCAAATGGAAATTCGCTTAGGCGTCAGGTTTGCTGCGGCGGGGGTATTATTTTAGCATAAGTTGAACTCTAATCCTAACTGATATCACTATGTTTCCTAATTGGAAGCATTTTTAATAAGTTAGGCGTGATTGATAAAAAAATGTTATGCTGATGTTTTTTAATAAAAGATTGTAAATATTCTTGCCTATTATCATTATTTTTGTATTTAAACAGTCATCTAACAATGTTACAAAATCAGGTAAAAATTTTGAACGTGCATTTCCCGTTGTGTATGAGAAGGGAAATCCTGTCTCGATCTCGTCTCGAAATTTTATGAGAAATAAAAAATCTTGTCTCGTCTCAAACTAAAAATCCAATCTCGTCCATCCCTAGTCACAACATAAATTATATACCGTATATATATTTATTATTTATATAGGCCTAGTCCGTGAACACGATAACTTGAGTAATTTTAGTCCTTTTCTTTATGAAATTTGGCTTTAAGGTGTAGGGTCAGATAAACTTGAATGAGTTCGAGACCCAGCAAGATTGGGTCATGGGAATACTTTGTGGTTTCAAAATGTTCAAAAATTGTTTTCCTTTCAAATGTTTGCTCTGAAAACATAGAAATGCCCTAATTTCATCAATACCATCTTGTAGAGCTTTAAAAAAAAGCTCTACAAGTGTTGTTGTGCAATTTAAGGTTCGAGATAAAATGTTTAAGACTGTAAATTTAAAATTCCCACGTTATTCCCGTAGGTCAAAGCCCTGAAGTCTGATTTGTCCCATTTCAGATTTATATCACTTCCCATAGTTGGTTTTGGTTTTGGTTTCTATGATGGTGCTAAATTGCATGATGATCGCTTCAGCCATTCAAGGCAGTATTTGTAAAACAAAAGAAGGAGTGTAGTATAAGTGCTTCGCTCGCTCCGCTCGATAGATTCCATTCCAAAATAAAGTGTAATCTTAAGAATCTTTTTAGGAAAATGATCCAAGTCCTCATCCAGCTCAAGAAGTAGACCAGGATTCATTGTTCGGAAACCATTTAATGGGCCCAAATGAGGTATGTCTAGATTACAACTAATATCTTTGACTATGGATTCATAACCTTCAAGTAGACATATCACAGCCGCTGTACAGATGTAGTTGTGGCCACCTTAATAAAATTTAGAATCTGATCGGTTGCTTTACCTGTCCAGCTAACTATTACTGAGACTTAAAAAATTTAACCGTTTCTAGACCCTTTGAATTTTCCTACAGGATAGAAGCTATTACCATAGGTGGCGCAGACTTAAACCCAGGACAGATACACTTTTTCATTTTGATGTTCCCAGGAGCTAAAAACATTATTTGTTCAAATACATATTTATGGATAGGCTATATCCCTGTGTGTGTGTTTGTCCATGAACATAATAACACGAGTAATTTGTGGTCCGACCTTGATGAAATTTGCCATGAATGTCTAGATCTGGATAAATTTGATTTAGTTCACTAACCAGTAAGATCAGTTAATAACTATTATTGGGTTTTGAAAATTGTCTAATGTTGTTATTTAAAGTCTTTATTCTTATAGAAATGTCCCATTTTCATTGTAGCCATAGTGTAGAGCTTAATAAAACAATCCATTTTGTATATCCAAGCATTGTTCTACAATTAAAGATAGGGGAAAAATTCCAAAAAAAAAAACTGTATGTATTTAAGAATTCCATGCTATGCTTATGTAACTTGTTGTTTATTAGAAATATTTTGATAACCTTCGGCACATTTATTCATTTTATACCACACTATTTACAATATTTACATGTCATTGAAAAAACATTTTTTCAATCATCTTCCCTTTATAGTCCTCGCCACCCTAAGTTGAGGCAGCCCAAGGCCGCCGTGCGTATATCTAGTGCGGCCTTGGGCTGCCTTAACTTAGGGTGGCAAGGACTATAGCAACAAGCCATCTTGCCTGTAACATAGTCGTTAAACTCGTTATTCGAATGGGTAATAAATCTAACTTGATTAAGGAAATATTTGAGAAAATATCTGATCAGGCAAATGGAAATTTGCTTAGTCTGCAGGTTTGCTGTGGCGGAAGTATCTCTGTTGTCTTTTTCCTTACTATGGACAATACAATTTGACAATACAGAAGCAATCAATCAGAGCTATGTTAAAAATGAAAAAAGATGATTCTGCAAAAAAACACTTTAAGCATTTAAGGATCTTTAATTTTTATGGTTTGTATGTTGTTGAATGTATTATGTTTGTCAAAAACAAAAATTTCAATCTACTAATTAAAGAAAACAATCATAACTACAATACACGGAACAAAAATAACTTTTTAATTGGAAAACATATATTAGAGCTCTTAAAAAAAAGACTATCAATGCAGGACATGATTTTTTTAAATTTATTCCTTTGAAAATTAAAACAGAACAAAAACCCAACATTAAAAAAATGTCTCAAGGAATATTTAATGGATCTGTCCTTTTACTCTTTGGATGAATTGAAAATGGCTTTATCATAGTTTTAAGCATTAGTTTTAATTTATTTGACACTATTCATGTACAACCATGTATACTACGAATAAAGATTCTTGACTATGACTATTTATTCTTGGCAGGCTGCTTCTTATATGCAAATCAAATTGGCTTTCTAAAACATTAGGGCAAACAAAGATACCCTGAGTTCAAAGGAATCGTGCTAACTTAAAGATTGCTCTTATACCTATGCCATTTTTCATTTTGTTACGATCATTATTCAGCTTATTTGTGAAACTTTAGGAAAAAGTAGAATCTCACAAAAGCCATAATGTTGAAGACAAACTGGTCGAAGAACAGAAAAGTGAAACGCATTTTGAAGAACCTCACATCGAACCAATGGTGAGTAGCCTACTTGTTTTTGTGTGAGTTTTTTTACACTTAACTAAACTAGCTTTATAAATGAATGGCCAATTTACCTTAACTTGAATCATGTTCTTGTTTCATTTTAAGTATTACTTAGTGGTTCCTAAATAATCCAATGCAGCTACAGACCAAATTTATTTTCAGGGATTTGAGCATAAAAACTTACACCTTGAGGGAAACACTTCTGTTTTCCACTGTCAGTCGTTTACAGTAAACACCAAAGAAGCAATGAACGTAGTACAGGAAATGTGGCAAAGCCCGACTCCTTCTCCAGGTAGGTGTTATTGTTTGTATAATTAAGGTAAAATGTATGGACTTTTCCTATTGCTAACTAAGTGTTTGACTAAAAAAGTATTAGTATACAGTCCAACCTCAGTATAACGAATCTGAAGGGACCGAACTGAATATTCGTTATATCAAGGATTTTGTTAAAACGAGGTTCGTTATATAGAGGTTAGGTTTGCAGGAATTTCGCTAAGTCGAGGTTCAGAACCAGCGTCGGTCAATATAGGTCGGGATTTGACCTCATCAAAATACAATTAAAGTAGCATAGGCTACGCTACAATACTTTACAGTACAGTGTTTACATTGTAAAGTAGAACCTAAATTATCTGGCGAAATAAAGGGGAGGGATCTTGAATATTGCGCAATCATGACAATGGCTTTGACCTTGGTACAGGTTAAAAACTGCAAGTTTAAAATCACAGCTTGTTCTAACCCTCCTAAAACCTAGCCAAACACTGTATTGCGTAGTCATAAACCATTTAAAGAACAAAACAAAACAGTAGAAAGTTTTGTAAGCTAATGCTCGTGATAGGCCGGTAGGCTACTACAGTACTGACAGTACAGTACAGTACTGATTTATCACAACAGATGAATGTTAATAATAATCATTAACTATAGCATTGGTGTTGCTAGTTGAAACAAATCTTATTGAAACCAATAAATTATTAGATAAGTCATTATAAAAGTGTATAATCATAGCCAACTTAAGGATAGTAAAAACACTCGTAAAAGGAATGTTAAGATAACGATGTTGCTATTCTTTCTCTTTGGTTTTGTTTTTATATTCTTTCTTAGTTTTCTCTTTATCCAAAAATTGTACAATTCACCATAGTTATCCCATATCGTCCAATCACAGCTTACTAAACATTACGTCGTCATCAGTCCTCAGTGAATGAAATCAGTTCAGTTCTCAGTTGCAACATAGCGCGCGCAGCGACAGCAGACAAAGATGTAAAACGGAGCAGACGAATGTTAGCGCAAGCGATGACGTGACCTTTCCATTTCATTTGATAAAGAAACAGATTTTCCCAAAACAATAATTGGGTGGGGGATTTGTTATATCGAGGGAAAGACGTAGACAATTCGTTATGCAGAGGTTAAATTCGCAATGTAGAGGTTCTGACAATGATAAATTCGTTATATTGAGGTGTCTTATTTTAGCCGAAATCACAAAAAATTCGTTTAATCAAGGTCATTATGGTTTGTTCGTTATGTAGAGGTAAAATATACATTGTGTCTTATGGAGAGTTCTAGGGGATTTAAAAAAATTCGTTATATCGAGGTTAGACTGTAACAGGTATTGTTAAATGAAAGTCAAACCTCTAATTGTTTGTTTGTAGTTGTGTTGTTGTAATTGTTGTTGCTGCACCTTAGAAAGTTGGAGATTTGTCAAGAATTGATGCAGTAGAGTCCTGCTAATCCGAACTCTGCTAATTATAAAATCTGCTAAATCGCTACAGGACTTCTCGGTTGAAATAGAAACTAGTCATGACCGTTATTCCAATTTCGCCTCTAGCATGACATTTTCTTGTGGCATGACCCAAAATAACTGCAATTGTAAAAGACATCAGCAACAATTTTGTGGTTGGCAAATTTATGGCATCGCAAAGATCTCAGATTGATTGTTGCGATCAAGACTTTGCAGTAACTGCATGTCAATGGATGTATTGCACTGAGTCAATTCTGAAAGTGACTACAACTATTCCAAAAATGCCTAAAATATCTTTTAGCAAAGAACTATAATTTTTTAGACTAATCTTTTTGTTTCAGCGTTCGCAAATAACATGAGAGCAAGCAGGGTGTTTCCAGTTTCTCCGGCAAATGTGGATGAATCAGGAGTGTTCAAAGTTCCAATAGCGCCTGCACCTCATATACCCGTTGCTCCGGCCAAGAAGAGTATTCCTTTCCCTGTGTTCAGCGACGAAGAACCTTCCCCGCCCCTACTCCGGTCAAAACCTTCCAGATCTACTCGGATGAAGCTGAAAACGAGCAACCTGGTGATGCGAAGACTGAAGAGCCCAAAGTCAATCCCAGTGTGCCCCTGCCCTTCCCGATACAACAGTCACCTGCTGTCTCAAGAGCAACTGATGTAGCTACCATGAAAATGTTGGCCTTCCAGTCTGATTCTGACGAAGAATGTGACATTTTGCCAAAACCTTGCTTTGGGAAAGAGGAAAAAGAGAGGCAGACTCCGTATGATGTACCAGCAGTCACTGTTACCCAAGCTACTCCAGTCGAGAGCAAAAAGGCTCTCGGTTTCCCTGTGCATGCGCCTGTGTATGATGAGGTAAAACCTTGTGCATGGGTTTTACTAACAAATTGGTCTAACTTAATCTAAAAATTTGTTTGCAACACTATTTTCTATCAGTGGTAATGTTAAGTACTAGATTTGTGGTGAAAATCTTTTTGCTGCCTCCAAGTTTATTAAATTTAGAATGGATCAGGATGGGTAGGGAGTTATTTCATTCTTATAGTTCTCCAAAAAATGTAACTTCCAAATATTCAAACAAAATACAAATAGAAAATTAGTAATCAACCTCCTGACCCAATTTGCATTTTTAGAACAATAGCAAACAGATTTTCACCCAATCTATTCATAAATTGAATTCTTTGTTATCTTTACTATCATTGCAGTTCAAGAATGTGTGGAAGATTATTATGGTTGCTTTTCTAATATAGCAAACTATTTTGTTGAGCGATCAATTATGTGAAGTAATAATAAAAAGTGTACCAATAAGCTTTTTGTTTTTCTTCAGCTATAGTTAGACATAATTAAATTATTTTCCAGCTTAGGGAGGCAAAGCAAGGACTATTTGTTTTAGCAGTTCTAAGTTATTGAGAAATTATTAGTATTTTGATATATTTAAGTTATATGTTTAGCAACATAACTTTAAGAAAATCACTTTTATAACTTGTTATAGGCCTACTCTCAATTAAAAATGCAGTTAAACTCAATAGTTGTTAATCAAGTTCTACATTTTTTTAATTGTTGGCAATGAATGTTTCTCAGGATAAGTTTGAAGACATGACTTGCAACACCAAGGCATTTGATTTCGCTCTACCTTCGTCCACCCCTCTTGTTGGTCACTTCCAGTCGAAAGCTGATCAACAAGCGAAAAATAATAACTTTAATGTCAATGGGTGAGTTTACTATTGTTTTATAGTGATAAATTAAAATAGTGCATCTATCAATGAATCAGCTCTCCTTCATCCGACTCAATCTTTTCGATTATCCAGTTTTACACTCAACATTTTCATTATTTTCAGCATTTGATAATTTCATCTCAGTCTATGACACCGCAACGGCCGTCTACCTTTATAATTAAGAGTAAATCATGGTGGGATTTAAAGTAGTAACTATAGTTTTACATTATTATTGTGTACTGAACGTAACTTAAAACTACTTCACATGCTACATATTGCCTACTCTGGAATTGGTCTACAACTCACATCAATCACCAATTTTGGGAGATGTTTTCTGTCATGTATAAATCTCAATCAAGAGACAGAATCAGAATTTTATTGAAAAGTGGCAAGT